GAGTTATTTAGCCTTTTTAATTATATGCAAGTTGTTTGCAGTTAAGTAATATTTTTAATTAAGCAATGATTTGTTTGATTTATGTGTTTTTAAGTTAATTTGTTAGACAATTGTTTTAGACTTAAGTGGTTGTTCAGAATTTCGTGCACCGTTTTTGTTTGTCTAATGAATGACACGAATATGTCTTGGTTCATAATTGGTGACTATTTGGTTGGCCAAAATATTGGACAAAAGTAAGTTACATTTTTGTGTCTCATATTATGTCTTCTTTTGGTTTTGTTAATTGTAAAGAAAACTTGATTCAATATCTCTGTTTTTTAGCTAATAGAATATGTGACTGAAGTTATATCTGTGAAACTTTAATTTAATGACAAATTTTTCGAATGTTTTGAAATTTTCGAGCATTGTTTTGTTTGAAATGTATGGAAAAAACAAGATAACTACCCTTACATCATTTCACATGCCTCTTAGTTGGTTTAAGTGTTGTACTTGCATTAATTAGGTTTTGTGTATGCTATTTCAAATTAATTTTTTAGTCGAAAAATTTGGTGAAATAAGGGGATTTAAAATTTTGATTTCTCACTTTTATTTTTTATTTTGTGAATTGGAGAATTTGTATGCACGTAACACTTAAGTCCCTCTGTTAGTATATCCGTTAGTAAATTATATCCGGAACCTGTAAAGTTTATAGTCATATAATACTTACGCGCCCTTAAATTTAAAATGTTATACTTAGACCAGCTATACTCCAATTAAAAATAAAATATCAAATATTTTAAATTTTATAATCAAAATTTATGTTCCATTATGACATTTATTGAAATAAAATTAAAAATAAAAATTTAATTTTAAAAAAAAAATCATAATTAATATACAATTATACTATATATTGAAATTTATTTTGGTTATTTAAATGATAAAATTAAACTACTAAATTATCTCAATTAAAGCTAGAACATATTGTTTCATCACAGTTTGACCCCTTATTTGATTTTTTTAGTTTTACTTCAATAAATAGTATAATTGTATATTAATTATGTTTTTTTTAAAAAAAATTAAATTTTTATTTTTGATTTTATTTTAATAAATGATAAAATAGAATATTAATTTTGGTTGTAAAATTCATTAACTATTATAAATGACTTAGACTCGTTGTTTGATTTTTTGGTTTTATTCTAATAAATAGTATAATTGTATACTAATTATGATTTTTTAAGAAAAAATTGATTTTTTATTTTATTTTAATAAATAATATAATAGAACATGAACTTTAATTTTAAAATTTAAAATATTTGATATTCTATCTTTAATTGATGTATTTTTTGTTTAAGTATAACATTTTAAATTTGATGGGTCTAAGTATTTTATGCCTACAAATTTCATGGGGTCTCGGTGTAAATTACTAATGAACAAGGTCTAAGTATTATGCGCATACAAATTTTAAGGGATTTATATATAATATTTTAAATATTAGGGGTTTAAATTATTAAGTGATAAACTTCAAAGGGTCTTGGTGTAATTCTCCCAAAATACAACGTTAGGCCGTGAAAGCGAAAAAGTTGTCAGCAAAGAGGGCAAAAATGTCTTTTGAATGTCACACTTGTGTCTCAGCTCGTAGCGTCGCAGTAAAGTACCAAGTCATTTCTGATTTCTGCACACATGCCCTCTCTCTCTCTCTCTCTCTCTCACACACACACACACACACACACACACAGACGACATTCGGACTTCTTCACAACGATTTCTACAGGGGGGACCGGATCCGAATACGGTATTGCCTTCAATTTTGTTAGTGATATTTGTATTCTATATTTCAACTCTCCGTTTATTTTGCTCATAAATTTTGATTGTAAAATCTTGAACACTATAAAGTTGAAATTAGGTAGTGAATTTTCCGTTTGTATGTTGAATGTGAATTTCCCATCCTTTCTTTATCCCTAATTTTGCTGTTTTTCTGTTTTCGATTGTTTGCTTACTGAGAAACTGAGATAACAGGAAAATGACCGGAATTCCAATTCAATTCAAAATGAAAATCATAGTTTTACTGGGTCAAGTGATTATACATATTCTAGGTTTTGGTATAAATTTGAATTTTACCAGGTCCATAATCAGGTGAAATTTATTACTCAAGCTCATATTATTGTTTATTTGAATGGTAGCAAAAGTTTGTTTTCCACGTGTTCTCATCAACAAAACAAATTAGTCACCTTTGGTTTGTCTGTGGAATTTGGAATTTGTGAATTTCATAGCATAGGTCATTTTTTTTTGTTTTTTTTGTGTAGGTTTGAGGTACATATTTATTTTTGTTAGTTGAGTTACAAAATTTGGATCTTTCTAGCATCGGAAGGGTGCATGAAGTATTTTTTGAATTAAATATATATTGTAGTATCCTAGTGCTTTGGATTTTTGTCAGTGGCACACATTGATTGTTCACCAAAAGTAATAACATATTGTGGGTTGGTGTTAATTTTGAGAAAGGTAATTCTCCTTTTCATTGGAACCTCTGTTATTGAGTTCTGATTTCAGGAGCTTTCGCATGTTTATAGAGTGATAAGCTAATTTTTTTGGTTCCCTTGTTGTTATTGATATAGCAACATTATCTTAACGTGCAAAAGAAAGTTTTTATTTATCAAATCATGAATTCAGCTCCTGGTAGCATTCATCTTCCGCCTGTTTTTGAGTTTTCTCTTTAGCAAAATTGCACGATGAAAAATTTCAAAACTAGCAAGATACCATGACATCTTTTGTTTAGCTACGTGTTTTGCAAAAGGGATGTCAGTTTCTTAATTAGGGTATCCTTGACTCTTCTGAAGTGATATTAACTTCAGTATTGACTACGTGGTATCCTAGAAAATTCACATCACTTTAAATGGAGCCCGTTGATTGATGAACATATAATTTTATAACTCTATATTCTTTGACAAGTAATACACTTGCATCCATCCCCACAGCAACTTGATCCTTGCTTCTTCCCCTTTGAGGGCGACCATCACCTTATTATCTTATTTAGTTACTGTTTCTGATGATAACTAATTAAGTATGAGGAAACGTCAGTTCAAATGAGGTTGTTTGCTTCCATGACGTTCCATTTCTTCTTGGGAACCCAAATTTATTCATGGAGTAGGGCCACAGTGCTCTTCCGGAATCATCTCCGATGCCAAAGACACTTCAGTTTGAACTAAAAGGAAACAGGAAGTACACATAGTTATGTGGCAGGGTAAGGTGAGAATGAAAATAGCACTTGGACATTTGAGAACATGTGTGCACTGAAAATTTCATTGTGTCACTATAAATAAGGTTAATTTGTCATGGGTTTATTGGAGATATATCTTTTTCAATAAGAAACAACATTCTATTGATTAAAAAAAAAGAAATATTACAAGAGACTAGACTCACATCAAGTGTGGACAAGCAGTCCAACATAAACGAAGCCAATGGAAAACAAAAACAAAACAATTTACAAACCGCACGAAGCTTTCCAACTTTTTTTATACAGAAAAGAGGAATATCTTGAAACTCCTTCGACATTGATGCCCAAAAGGAAGCCAAAAAATAGATTCTTTCCCATTGACCATCATGTGCACATTCCACGTTTCTCCCACTCTCAGCCTCCTAGTACCATTCCAGCAAGTCAATGGCCAACGACTTCAGGTCAATCGAGAAAAAGGCCTATGATTTGTAACCGTCTAGGGCTGATGTCATCCATTGGATGACCAGCACTAATAGTGCCAAACACCTAATTATTCTTTGTCTCTCAGCACTCACTCACTCTCTCTCTCTCTTCCCCCCCCCCCTCCCCCGGTATTTTAAATGCTTGTTTTTTTTAATCTTCGTTTGAATTCATTTTAGTTTGTTTGCAATTTCCTCTAATTCTGTACTCAGTTATTTTTTCCATCATTCTCTGCAAAATCTTGTTCGGTGTGATCACATTTTGATTTGATGCAAGTGTCCAGTGTATTTTCCTGTTTTATTTCTTCACATTGGACTGATGGAGTTCGCTGTGTTTTCAATTGAGCCTGAAATTGATGTGTAAATGGTCTTTTTCTATCGTTTTCAAGTGTAGATACTACCTCTTTGTTGTGGCAATTGCTTAATTTATCTTGCAGTTTTAAATTGTTGGATTAGTTTTTATGCTTGTTTTGTGTTTTCTTTGCCCTTAACTTTAGATGAAATTTGCCAGTACAGTATGTCTATGTTTCAGTCCCATGTATTAATATGCTTAATACTGTCTATGACCTAAATTTGACTATGAGGTTTTATATGGGTTGACCTAATGGCCAAATTGGTGACCCTTATCCTGGTCCATTTTCCGTTATGGTTAATGGCCAGATCGAGTGCTTTGGAAAGCAATGTTGAGGAGCCTGTGTACTGCAAAGTGGGTTCAGTGTGGCAGTCTAACAAGTAGGCTTATATCAAATGTGGATTATTCAAGGTGATGCTAATCTCCCTATTTTCATTGGTTTGCGGTGAGAATTTTGTTCCAAGGAGCTTGAGCCTACCTTATTTGAGCAAGTTTGATGCAATTTAAAATGAGTGAGGCAAAGCTAGGCTTGATTGCTGTTCACTTTCTTGACAAGCCATTTGTCCATGCTGTGCTTTTTGAAAAATGTTCTTTTGTATGAAGTTTTTCCCTTATGTTGAAGTAGATGAATATTTATATTGCGTGTTGGATGTGATTAATACTGCTGCTTCCTAGATTGTTATCTGGCTTTGATTTATATTTATTTTTTTTCCTCTCTGGTCATGCAGAATGTATTTACTTCAACATATAGTTTCACTTATCGGTAGATGTATTGTTTAATTCTTTCAATGTCAATGATTTTGAGAAAGTGTAGTCCAGTTTCAAATTAAATGGATGTATGTATAGGTGAATTACTAGAGACTGGAGCAAAATTAGGGCTACCATAAAGAATCCCCTATTTTCTGATAGTCAAGCATTACAAGAATTTTGCGATATTTTTCCTGTGTCTTTTAACACTCCTGGATGTCACTTTCTTGCAGGAGTTCATCAGTTCTGCTAGAAAATGGAGCTTAGTACCGTCAAAGATGCATTTGATCGAGTTGCTAAGAAGCAAAAATTGTCTACTTCTAAATCACTTGAAGTAATTGACCAAATTGGCCATGAAATTGAACAGGCCTTATCAAATATCCAGACCATTCAGGATCCTGCCTATCCTGTAGATCGGAAATCCATCCTCAAGGAACTTAAAACCAAGCTCAATGAGATTGGCCCGCACAAGCAGCTAGAGGGATCACAAAAGGAGCTAAACATAAACCTCATGAAGTACCTAAAAGTCCTTGAAAGAGTATTCATTCCTGACATATCCAAGGCATACAGGAATGTTGACTTTGACTCTCACACTGTGAATCAGATCATTGTAAGCCATTTTTATCGTGAAGGTTTGTTTGATATTGCAGACTTACTAATATATGAAGCTGGGGAACCAGAAGCCATCTCCCTAAAATCACACTTTATGGAGATGCATCAAATCCTTGAAGCTATCAAGGATAGAGACCTTCAACCTGCTCTGAACTGGGTCTCCTCTAATCGTGCAAAACTAAAGCAGATTGGTTCAGATCTTGAGCTGAAACTTCATCGCTTACATTTTGTTGAGATTTTGCAGAAACAAAGCCAAGCTGATGCTCTCAACTATGCCAGAACTTACCTTGCTCCTTTTGCTTCAGTTCACATGGATGAGATCCAGAAGCTTATGGGTTGCCTCTTGTGGGTGGGAAAGCTGGACCGATCCCCATATTCTGAATTGATGGATCCAATCCATTGGGAAAAGGCATCTGAGGAGATAACCGGGCAGTTCTGTAGTTTCTTGGCCCAATCATATGAGAGCCCCCTGAATGTGGCGGTGACGGCTGGGGTTGAAGGGTTGCCTACTCTATTAAAGTTGGCAATTGTAATGGCTGCAAAGAAGCCGGAGTGGCAGGCTATGAAACAGTTACCAATTCCAGTGGAATTGAGGAAGGAATTTCAGTTCCATTCAATTTTTGTTTGTCCAGTAAGTCGGGATCAAGGCAATGACGAAAATCCACCTATGTTGTTGCCCTGTGGGCACGTCCTTTGTAAGCAGTCCATTCATAAGCTGTCAAAAAGCAACACCCGCATCTTCAAGTGTCCGTATTGTCCTTTTGAGGCCTCGGTTGCACAATGCAGGCAACTTCATTTCTGATCTGTGTTTGTGAAGCTCTCTCCGTGTGTGTGTGTGTGAGTTGTGGTACTTTGTGGGTGGTTGATGTGCTTGTGTGCTTCTGTAAATAGATATTCTTTCTTGAAGTTACTTGTGATTTCTGAAGATCTCATTACATTTTCTTACTTATAGCAACGGTTTTTACAATGACATGGTCATCTTTGGTTTTAGTAATGGTGAGCTACTGTTGCACAGGTATTCTCCTTTGTTGTTTACCAAAGCAAGGAAGTACTTATAGTTGTTTAGTTCGTTAAAAATAGTATTAAAAATACTGTAAGACTTTGTTATGACTCTTTAAGAAGAACCTAAAACTTAAAAGAAACCATTGGTGACGATTTTGTGCATTCTAGATGTGGCCTGTGTCTTTATATTCTCTCTTTTCTCTTTCGTTTTTAACCCGAACATGGGCAAAATCAGGCCCAGACCAAACACCTCAAACGACCCACTCATGATTTAACCAAGTGATTGTTTCACTTCGGCTACCAAAGCATGTGTTCTTATCAGTTCAAGACCGGGAGTGCTATATGCAACATTCAAAGGTACGATTGATCAACGACAAGTCTGCAGTAGGCCACTGAATTCAAGGCTTGCTAATGAGGCTTCTCAAGTTGCAACGAGGGCTGTCCTTGTTCGGCCCTTATGATTTCCCTGTAGCAAGCCTTGTGAGAAGAGTTTAGTGTTGCAGAGACATGCCGACTTTGGAATTTCTGCATTAATCACGCCTAACATCAGGGGAGGAAAGTTGGGTTAACGTATGGTTCAGACCCAGCAACCTGGACTTAAACTCGGTGATTATGTACCATGGACAGGACCTAGGATGATATGTAACTATTCAAGATAGCCATGGTAGGGGTTGCGGTTGCCCATTAGGATTCATCAACTCAATCTTATTAGAGCTAGTGTCCACGAAGGCAGTTCCGAACTTCGATAAAGAAAGAGATTTGCGTTAGATAACAAACAATCAATGTAAAACTTGTTTGAACACTTACTTGTGACAGTGGATTGGATTTTCAGCATTGCTGGAAGAATATGGAGAGATAGTGTTGGGAGGATAAGGAGCTGAGTGATCTAACCCGTATATCTCTTGGAATTATTGGGACCGGCACGATGGTTACCCATCAACTTTGATATTATTTTTCAATAGATCTAGTGATGTAAGGTGTAATATATATGTTTGAAATTCATACTCATCTAAAACTTAACCGTGGTTAGCCGTCAACGATATATTAAAACACTTTTTTATTTGAATGTTTACAAAAAAAAGTAAAATATCACAAGCCACAAATTTTTATTGGTCTCTATTCTTTGTCTTTTGTCATACCTCTCTATCCTATATTTGTTTTATTCCATAGTACAATTATTGATCAAGAGTTCTAACTTCCAACTAAATCTATTGTTTTTGCATACAATAATAAGAAGGTTTATCTGTTTCTCTCTCGATTTTGTAGTGGTAAGAGTCTCGTATATTGAATCATTTTTTTTAACAATATTTTTTATCTTGAGAAATATAAAAAAAGTTGTGAACAGTTTCCATCGCATTTTCAATCAAAATGTGATATTTCTAACTTATTTTTTTTTCGACACATTGAGGTGTAAGTACAACTTAAACGGTTAAAAGAAGAAAGAATAATATTTTTTTTTTTGCTCAAAAAAATTATTTTCTTCGCACGACTTCTAATATCATATCATTTCACTAATCTACACATATCTCTCTCTATTTTACCTCTCTCTTAACAAAAAGAAGAAAAAAATTACAAGTTATTGCACACTAAAAATAAATTATTCTTTAAAATATAAAAATATTGCACACTAAATATTATATTTTTTATATTATATAATATTTTTAAGTACAAGTTATTACCGGTCTATCTAATATTAAAGTTAAAAAAATTAAATTATCAATTTATAAAAAATATCTTCATGAAATTTTCGCTTCAATTATTGTTACTATATATACTCCGAACCGAAGCATGAGTACGTTAATGACAATCACCGTTACCACAGCCACCATTATTACCACTGTTCAGATAACAATATTCTCTTCCAGCCTCCAATCAAGAACAGCTCGAGCTTTTCAACATCCACTAAGACGTCTCTCACGTCCTTCCTTCCCTTCTCTCTCCTGTACGTAAAATCTACAATCCCTAAAACATTTCTCAATCTCGAATTTGCCTTAATTCTGTATTTGTTTTTTTTAACCCTAGCTGCCGATTTCTTTGATCTGTCGATCTGTCGATCTGTGGATTATATTGTGTTACTTGTATAGATGTGTTTGTGATTTGAAATATCTGCAATGGCCGCTGAAGGGAAGATTCCATTGTAAAAACTCACTTTTCATTACACTTAAAAGGCGATTAATCTTACTCTGATTTGTGGTCTTCTTCCAAAAAAATAGGAGTATTTTGGATTTAAAAGTATGTGATGTGATGCTTGATTTGGAATTCATTGTTGGAAGGATTGTTAGGAAATATTGCCTTGGGCTGTAGTTATGTGGGGAATTGTTGATACCTGTTGGTAATGATTTGAGTTTAGCCCACCCCGAAAATATTGAGACATGGATTTGTTGAGTTGAGTTGTGGGTAATGATTTGACTTTACTATTGAGATTAATACTATCGGACGTTATATGTCCAAGACAATCTTTCATTGCCGAATCTTCCTGACATTTGTTTAATTTTCCATGTAAAACGATCTTGTCCTTTTTGCTGTAGCTGGACCTGTAATTGACACTGCCAAGCATATGATTGCATTCATAGTGATTCATTCTGCAGTGTATATTTTCTGGACTATTCTTCCAAGATATATGAAAGGCACCTTATACCCCCCTGGAGTACTTAACTAAACCAAACAAAACCAAACAAAATTAAGTCTTATATCCCAAACAAAATTTCATTTTCTTCAATGCAAACTTTACCTCCAAATTCTTTATTCTACGAAATAACGTTTCATGAATTTTACAATTTTCTATCTCTTCTAAGTTTAGTTTTTTAAAATAGTCTTTCTACTGATCATTTATTTCCTCATCTTTAACTAAAATCTTAAAGTTCTCATCCTTGATGCACTTAACTTAGTTAAAGTCTCTTATTTTTCTGTCTTTAATTTTAACTAGTTAGTAAGTGTTCTTTTCTTTATTTACTATCTAGTTTTTTGTACAACTCGTCGTAGGCTTTTAACTTGGCGTATCTAACTATCTTTTTAACGTACTTGTTAGCTAATTTATATCTTTGAAAGTTTTCGTTTTTCTACCATTTTGCCATCTTTCTTTCTTTGTTAAGTTTTTTTTCTCACAAACCCTCTACCCTTTGACTCCCCAAGAACCTCTTCGAATTTTTCCTAAGATTTTTTCATCCTATTTCACATAACGTTAGTCTCCTTCTCTAGGTTCCATAAGACTTCCTTAAGCATTCTACTCCTAAATAGTACTATTTCTCATCTTTTAGATTCCACCATCTCGTTCTTATTTTTCTAATGTTTCTCCTTACTTTATTTTGCCCTTTAATATATACATCTAGGATTGTTAGCCTATGTTGAGATGTTAACCTCTCTCCTGAGATAATCTTACAATCTTTATATGTTAATCGGCCGGTTCTTCTACTTAAGAAGTAGTCTACTGGGCTTTTGTTTGGTTCGCTTTTAAAGATTATTAGATGTTTTTCACATTTTATAAATAAGGTGTTTGCCATTACAATGTCATATGCCATTGTAAACTCTAAAATATTCTCTCCGATTTCATTTTGGTCACCATATCCATAACCACTATGCACCATCTCATATTGTGTCTTATCTTTTCCTACATGTCCATTGAAATCTCCACCTATGATTATCTTCTCTCATATAGGTATATATTGAACTAATTCATCCAATTGCTCCAAAATTACTTTTTAATATGTTCTTCTAACCTTACATGGGATGCAGAAGCGCTACTCACTTTAATTATATTCTCTCTGACTACAAGTTTGATAGATATAATCCTATATCCTTTTCTTGTAACTGTCACTACGTTATCTTTTAGGCTTTAGCCTACAACTATTTCTATTCTATTTCTTCATCTATCATTTTTTGTATAGTAAATCTTAAATCTTGTATTTTTTATAGTCTTTGCTTTCTCACGTACCCACTTAGTTTCTTGTAAGTATGCGATACTAATTTTTCTCCTGCTCATAGTGTCTACTAATTCCATTGTTTTGCCAGTGAGTTTACCTATGTTCCATGTTGCTAATCTAAGTCTATCATCGTGGACTAGCTTCCTTATCCCCTACGTCCGTCTATGGCGCGGAGACCCTTGCCCATTTACCACCGCACCTGGACGTCGATGCAGTGCCCCTAACTTATTTGTTGAAATGGCCCAAGGCAGGAGCAACGAGTCACTTATGGGGAACGACCTAGAATTAACACATATATCATTATTTGGACTCATTATAATGGATCCGACAAAGTTTTACGCTGGCTGTAGGCTACCTAAAACAACCCTCATCTTTTCTCTTGACTTGGAATAGATAGTGTTGAATACAACATTGACAGAGCTACATCTAAAAGTACCTAAACCCTTGAAATGATCGGATGGGCATACTTGACCAGTCATTTTCGTGTTCTCTGGCGAAGAATGATTGCCATTTCCTCTATGTGGCTAGGGGTGTCCATGGGTCAAGTTGGGCTAAGCCTGCGAAATATTTTTTGGGTTGGCCCTGGGTAGTATAGGCCCAAACTCTTACCTAAGTGAGTTATTAGGCCGGTCAGACTTCAGTTAGGGGTAGGCTACTCGTAGCCTAACCCACGAGCCAATTGGATGGGCCTGTGGGCGGACTTGCTGAGTGGGCCTGCTCAGGGTCTTTTATATATAAAATTTTATTTAAAAATAATGAATATTTTTATAATTTAATAGTTGTAAAAATTATATTTTTGAATCCAAAGTAGAGTCAAAATGGATAAAAATAAAATAATAAATAATTTTATTTTTAATTAGGGGATGAACTACATCTAATAGAATGAATACATCCCAATTAGGTTGATACCTATTCACTTATTTATCATTTGCATTACTCTATCTTTTAAAACTTGTATGCGTAATACATGGAAAAAAAAATAATACATTATTTATAGTAGCTAAATTTTTAAAACTTCAAATTCTGACATTGAAAAACTCAGTTCTAAGTTTCAAATTTAATGATTTAAAAATATAATTTTTTTTCAAAGGAATGGTGGGCGGGCGGGCTGGCGCTTGGGCTGTTGGCTGGGTTTTAACTGGTTTTATTAGGCGGGTTATTGGGCCGAGTTTCGGGCCAGGTAATGGGTTTAGAGACAAACCCAAACAATATTTTTAAGAATATTGGGCTTGGATTCGGGCGGACTAACTATCAGGTTTATGGCCAAATTTTTTCAAGTCGAGTAACGAGACCCGTGGGTAACTCGGCCCATGGACACCCCTATATGTGGGGTTTTAATAGTTACTATAATTTACTAAACCACTAACGGCCCATGATCTGGGTACATCAATTCCAAACAGAGTGTTTTCGCAATTCAGATCACCAGAATGTATGATTTGGGATCTTATATGTAGCACCAATATAAAATACAAATTAATTAACTATGTATATAAATTTATAATTATATATTGTTTTAGATGATAGAAAATCTAACATTATCCTATAATGTTGCATAGTTTCATATTTCTTTGGTTACAGATAAGGAAATATTAGCATCATTAAATACCACAAGATGTGTTGCATTTAATCCTCCAAACTCTCAACTGTTAATTATCGAATTTAGTATCACATTGTGTCTTATATTCATGCTTGAGATTATACATTCTAGACAAGGGAAAATAAGTTCTGCAATATTATGGAAGTTCACTGAACTAGCTATTGTTTCTCTTTTTTTTTTTTTCCTCCATCCCACCACCCCTTTCCTCTTCTTCCCGCTCAACTAGCAAAAAATTCTGTTTCTTTGCCTCTCAATGGTAATTGCAAATGGGCTCCTTAAAAGAACTTGTTCAACTTTGCCATCAAAATGTTTGGACCTATGAATCCATGGAAAAGGTGACAGAATACTTTTTCGTAGTTAAGAATTTTCCAACTTAGTGGCACCTTTTTACCTTCACCACTGCATATTTTATTTAGCTTTCACAATGGATAGTTTTCTACATCTCAATTGAGATGTAAGGTATGATTTTTTGTTTTGAAAATTACTTTTAAGTTTGTGATTTTTGAAATCTATATTCTTAGATTATATATTATATATTCACTGTTTGACTGAAATATCCTAAAATTTTGAAGAGCATCTGACCTATTTGTACATCATTGTTTTCCAAGATTTTCTTTTGTAAGTTCTTTTAATTTTACATGCAGTTGCAGACATGGATAGCAGTGGAGGTCCAAGCTTGTTTCCGTTGCAACGCTGCAAAACTCTTCACCTGGTTGGTGTCAGATTTGGTTTTTTCAATACATATGTGTATTATGCTTTGAAGATGTGAAGCTTATATATCTTTGATTTGAAGGACTCTCGAGATTGCTTTCTCTATTGGCTTTTGCTGAAAATTTCCAAGGCTTTATGGTCTTATTAAACCATATCTCCAGGTGAGGCATGCACAAGGGATTCATAACGTAGATGGAGATAAGAACTACAAAGCATACATGTCTCCTGAATACTTTGATGCACACCTTACTCCACTCGGCTGGCAACAGGTGGGAAACAAGTCAAGTATATGTTCTTCTGCATACCTCATTTTTTTATTGAAAAAAAACAATCTTTGATTATGTTAATCAAAATCTTAAATACTCATGTTGTATATGAAAGTTTTTGCCCATATAACAGGTTGATAATTTGCGTAAACATGTTCATGCATGTGGGCTTTCCAAGAGGGTTGATCTAGTTATCACGTCCCCATTGCTAAGGTACCACTGCTGCTTCAGTAGTCCTATGACATCCTTATACGACATCTTTAAAATTTGCATAGATGTCTTCTAAATCTGACTAATGTGCCTGGCAACTAAGAATTTTGTGGCCTCTCACATTGCTTTGGTTAGCTTAGATAAAGTATTTTGTTTCCCCATGGAAGCAAAGCTGAACTTGAGTGTATATAACACCAGGTTTGGGTCATCCACCACATGAGCATAGTTGTTAAATCGTGTATCGGAAAGCGTATCGTTTTTCAAAAATAGTGTATCATATCGTATCGTGTATCGTAAGATACACGCAATTTTAAATAATTATTAATAAAATATATACACCTTTGTAAAAAAGTCATAGACTCGTAATAATATAGCATTTCATTAATATTTCACTAACTATTTAAGTTTTCAACATAGATTAGTAATATCAAAATACAAAAACCTTTAACTCAAACTTCTAACACCAATTGATTGAACAACATTAATATTAATCAGAAATTTTGAATTCAATTAAACAACATTAATAATAGATTTTTTTTTAAAATCATAACCATTGAAACGACGTTATTTCACTGACTAGTAATTTAAAAATAAGTTCTAGGATGCAATAATGTTATTTCAACCCCAAAAAATAAAAAATAAAAATAAAAAACAGAATCTTCACGTATTGGACGTATTGTATCGTATCGTATTGTGTATCGTACGATACGGTGCAAACATGATACAGAGAAATGATACGTATTGTTTTTCTAGTGTATCATAATGTATCGTGCGATATCGCGTATTTTATGATACTAATAACTATGAACATGAGTATGTCTCTACCAAGGTTTAGAATTCCTCATTTGTCTTTGTAATACTAAATAAGTTCATGAATGCTATCAATGTGAACCTTTTTATTAAACTAATCCATTTCTCTCCATAACTAATGGAGGAGCCATGGTAGAATCATGGATGGTTACATCTATTTTTTCTGGTGGACAGCACGAGCTAAGTCATGTGGCGCCCCGGTTGTGGGGCCGGGGCGGTATCATTGATTTTCTTTGCTCATTTATTGCCTTTCCTCCTTGTCATTTCGAGTGCTAATGAGAAGAGAACTAGTTCTATCTGTTTATTGGAGGTTTTGTTACTTCGATAAATAGAATTTATAGACTACTTGAGCAAAATTACACATCTTGTTGTATGTGTATTTCCTCACGCCTTGGTATGAGAACATGTCATTCTCTCATTGAGTATTTAGAATTTTAAAAGGAAAATAATAGCAAGGATTTAAATTTCGTTTCGGTGCATTGTTTCTGTCACCTAGAAAATGAAAATATTTTACCGTGTTTCGAAAACGGAATGAAGAAAAATAAAAATTTTAAGAATTGTTTTTCAAAATATTGGTTGAAATATACCAAAATACCTTATCTTGAAATATACTGAAATAATTGTGCAGATGCAATGAAATATAACAAAAAATTTCAAAACATTATGGAACACCTCGAAGTATTAGAATTTCGATTTCATTACTGATTCATTTCGGTCTCCTTGGAAACAAAAATGTTTCGGATGTTTTGACCATTTCGAAATGATATTTTAATCATTGAATGGTAGTTCAATTTCACTTTTAAGTTGTTTTTAGTTGGTGATGGTAGCTTAGGAAGCTGATGAACTTTGTTGCTTGCATCACATGCAAATGTCTTTTTGGACTACAGACAAATTTTGAATACTGGTAGTTTAGAATGTTCAAGGAACTTTTTCTCATACATGAATTTGTCTCAGTTCTAATTAGTTTGAGTATGTATGCATAGCTTTGACTCTTATACCATTAATCTTCTGATTCCATATTTTGACCATTTATCCAGTATCCAGAAACCAGTTCTGAATTGTTACAAAGGAGGGGCTTTCTTTCACTAAATTGTTGTTTAAGGTTATGGTATTCATTAATTTCAGTAACTTGATTGTTAATAAATAATTTGTATTGTTCATTCTTCTTGTACTTTGTGAAAAATTTACCCATTTTCAAATAAATGTCATTTCAACCCTGGTGCACAATGCCTGGGAAAAAATTAACCAAAATGGTAAAAGGCTTGAAAACAGCCTATTGTTAAAGGTACATTGCGTTTGTAGAAAATATGATCCATGGACAAGGGGCCTCCGGGGAAAAAAAAGGGATTGGCAAATGCATATTTCAGCGAGGTAATTCTTTTATTTTGTAGTTATGATGGCATTTTATGGGTACAGGACCATGCAAACAGCTGTTGGAGTATTTGGTGGTGATGGCTATACAGATAGGATGGATATAGTACCACTAATGGTGGCAAATGCAGGAAATAGTGACCGTGCTGCAATTTCAAGTCTAAATTCTCCACCTATTGTTGCTTTGGAACTTTGTCGAGAGCATTTGGTAGGTCTATTAAAGCAGTATATGTGCATGCTTTATGTTGTTTAACTTCTTTCCCAGCTTTTTATTGCTATATTTAGGCTCTATTGTGACATGAAGCATGGACACCACCTCTCCACATACGAAGATAAGGATGCATTCTGACCTCTTCTAGGCCTAGCAGTGGTCAGTGGCAGGAGTCTCGTGGGTTGCGCTTAAATATAACATATAGAAAGAAAAGAAATCTTTAGTTGTCTCACTTTGCGGAACAGTCTATCTTGTTGCTAATACTAAAGTGCAATTGGAGGAGGAGGAAATGTATCTAGTTTGTGCTGGTAAACTTGGAAAGAATTAAGGTATCAAGGGCATCGAGTCAAATTTTTTGTAGATCTGTAGAAAGTAACCATCCCACATCAGGCTTGATAGCTCGACCAGCTAGAAGTTAACTACTCATGATGTAATATTTGTTAAAAAATAAGAGGTTTTTTGGAATATTAGTATTAGAAAGATTGAGAACTGAGGATATCTTGGTGCAATTTTCAATAATACCTCTTTAAGATGTGCTTGTAGGTTGAAGTTGTTGTTACAATATGTAATGGTTTGATCTTAGTTGCTTCGTGTCAAAAAAAAAAAAAAAAAAGAAGAAAAGATCGTAGTTGCTTGCATGAATAAGACATCATCTTCCTGTGATTTTTCTGTTGTAACTTTCGAATTTTCTGTAGTTATTGTGTATGAGGGTTTAATCTGAGTTGCTTGCAGAAGTTACTTGGTCATTTACATGTTTCAGCTTATATTCGTTGCTGTCACAATCTTTTATTGAAATCTCTCAGCTTAATTTATAAATCATTTGAACTCCTACCAAAATTGGCATGTAATAAATGATGTTCATAGCAAAATGGTATTTTGTCTTTTTTTTTGGATGGAACGTTTGATATATGAGAGGTGAATTTTGTGAATCTAGTATGCATACTTGCACATACATAGTTAAAGTCTTGCAAATTTCTCTGATTATTCTGTTTGCAGGGTGTTCATCCTTGTGACAAGAGGAGAAGCATCAGTGAATATCAATGCCTTTTCCCCTCAGTTGACTTTTCGCTGGCAAGTCCTAACAAATCTGCAACTTAAGCTTTTAGATCATCTATCATTTGATAAAAGGATCTAAGCCAGGTTCATATGACATCCATTATAAGGTTTTATTGTGTTCAGATAGAAAGTGATGAGGATATATTATGGAAGGCCAATGTTAGAGAGACGAAGGAAGAACTTGCAGCAAGGGGAATGAAGTTCATGAATTGGTGAACTCTTTTTCTCACTATTATACTATGACATTTTTAACTGTATATATCTTGATAAAATGGTTTTGTTTTGATCGTGTTAGCTTTTAAATATTATGTGACCGAAATTCCTAATCAATACCGCATGCACATTCCATGAAAACTCCTGCATGGAACTTACCAAGGCTGTTGCCCCTGTCATCTCATCATATTGAGTTGTATGATAAGAATCCTGTTGTATCAAGGATGATGGTTCCCTTCGAGGGTCTCCAGGGTTTATACTTCATAAGGCCTGGCACCCAAGTTTTGGCATAAGCTGCTTAATCTGCTGTCATAGGGTTTCAGATGCAACCTTTCGAAGAACAGGAGCCAAGTTGGCTGTGTGCTGGTTTGTAATTTTAGCTTGACTTCTGTTTTGCATTGCTTTTGACATTCTAGCATAGAATTCCTTTTCAGAAACAATATCTATTGGCTAATCTATGTATTTCACTGATAGCTGCCCATGCCCACGCCCACACCCCCTTTCAATTTCTATTGGATATGAATTTAGTTAGGAAATTAATACCCTAGGAAGAAATGTATAAACATTTGGCTGAATTTGTAAGTGAGCTTTTATCTGATTCTTTTTCTACAGTTATCTGTATTGGAAAGCAGTTACTTGCACCCATTCTTTTCGATTTGTGTTTGCCATTAGTGGTACTTGAGCCTCCTTCTTGACAATTCCTTTCCATATATACAGGTTGTGTACACGGGAAGAGAAGGAGATAGCTATAGTAACTCATAGTGGGTTCTTGTTTCATACACTTGGTGCATTTGGCAATGACTGTCACCCATTGGTGAAAAAAGAAATTTGCAAACAGTAAGTGTTCATTGGGCCACTTGTTTTGTTAAAGATTAGCAATGACAACATTGAAGCACGATATTACCTCGCTGGATTGTGTTTTATTTGGTAGGACTATTTTCATCTGGGGCGTCTAGAACCACCTATTCAATCTCCCCAACTTTTTCTCCCTTATTTTCACTTTTGTTAGAGATACCTCATGTTTTTGCTTCAAATCCTTTGGTGGGAACTTTGTCCTCGATCTCTAAACTATGCAACCAATAAGGCCATCAAGCATATTTCACACGCCAATTATTACAGTAATTATTCACAAGTCAAAAAAGACGGGTGGAAGGGATGAACTACAAGGTTCTTCCATGGCCTTCTGCTTCTTTAAGCGTGTGATTAAACCACGCTTCCATTTTCAATAACGAAATTAATAATAAAAAAATTGTGAAAATTATCACAGATAAATTTGCTGTTTTTAACATTCTTTTGAAAGGGCTTGAAGATTTTGCAATTATGTGCAGTTTTGCTAATTGTGAGCTTCGTTCTATGGTCATTGTGGACAGAAGGTAAACATTATCATTTTCAGTGCCTCATTACCTGCTATATATATATATATATATATATTCTTATATCCTAATTTTTCTGCATTCAACAGCATGATAGGGTCGGATTCCTCAACAACTAATTATCCAGGAAAGATTCCTTCCGGGCCAGATCTTCCAAGCAGTGTCGTGGATGAGAAGAACTTGGGGAAAGATGAGCCCAATTCCGGGTTACATTAATAAGGAATGTTGAATTGATGTGATTCAGAGGTGAAAATAGAAATAGATTTGGGTGAATGCCAATTTTTTCAGATGATTTGATTATATGTATGCTTACGATGTTTGCTGTTTTGGATTTAATGAGGGCTATCCAAAATTAGCTTACAAAGAGTGATTTAGTAATGCTAAGGAAGAGAATGAGATGCATTTACAGTAGTTTATCAATTCCTTTCAGATCCAAAAAGGGTGCCATTTAGTCATACCACGCCCAACTCGACTCATTTATAGTCGTGTTCAACCAACACACATCTCGTGTTGTATGCATGTCAAACAAATTTATTTAGCATATGACTGTTCAATTTTGTTATTATCCAAACCCGTAAATATTAGATCATATTCGATAATTTTGTGTTGAATTTATGTCAAATTAATGGATCACATTATGACCTAGGTCACAGAGCCGGGAGTGCAAAAGTATCAACATTCAAAAACTTTGAAAACGGAAATATCTTGAGAGCATAATATTATATATATATATACTGACACATTTATCCATAAAAGTTTAATATAAGTAAAATATAAAAAAATAAAATTTCATGCACAACTATTTAATTTTTAAATATATGTAGATTATAAAATTTTAAGATGATAATTATAGTTTATAAATATTCTACTTTGATATATATCTTTAGGTTTGAATTAATACTTTCTCAATAAAATTGAATAATAATAATAAGTAAGCATATAAGTAAGAGTGCGAATTAGTTGAATTTGCGAATTGAAAAATTGAATTCAAGTTTTGTAAACTGAGAGCGCAAATTCACGAATAATTCGTTCCCAAGCGTTAATTCACGGGCAAAACTAGAGTGCGTTTGAGTTTAAAATGATTAGGTGAGTAAGGTAATGACTTACCGGCTCCAAGTATGCCACACCTTAGAGCAACTAACTATTTTAGTGTTATAAGTGGAGTCCAACGACTCCAAACATGCTGATTTTGTTCAAACTTTAATGGTTTCAAAACAGGAAAAAAAACCTGATTATTTTAGTTGCTTTCAACATTCTTAACGAAATTCTGTTTTGCAAACCAACTTGCTTCAGATCATAGCAACAAACAGGATAGCTCACACATAACCTAATTTGACTGCCAGCAAAAAAAAGGTGAAACCTTGGTTTTCCTAGTTCCCTTTCAAGATGTCATAAAAGGATACAGGCCTCTTCTTAGGCTTGCCACAAAGTTCCTGAAAAAAGAACGCAAAGAATGTCCTGTTAATTCTCCATTTATCTACTCTAGCTACCTACATGGGCCATCGTTTTATATACCCAAAACAAGAAAAGATGATGCAAGATGATCCATATGCAATTGTGGTGAGTTGGTCCTATGTCACTTGGTGAAGTATGTGTGGAAGTGTTTTATAACGTGCGATTCTAACTTTCGTCGTACAATGTATTTTAAAATCGTGTACACTGTCTAAATAAAAAAATATTTTATAGTACAAGTTTGGAGTGTTACAAATGATATCAAGGTGTTGAACCTCGTGGTGTGAAGGCCACCTAGACCAATGAGGTAATGGGAACTAGCTTGGTGGGAGCCATCCTCTGGATCCTAAATCACTAGGGTCTTGACAAGTCCCACATGAGGAAGGTGTGCTCTTGAAGCATCTCCAACGCAGCTCTCCAAAATAGCAAATCAAAATATATTTAAATATTACATTATCTATTTTAGTTAGCCTTTTTTACAAATTCACTCCAACCACACTCAATTTTAGCTAACTACTTCACTCAACTTTCACTAATTTCCAATAATTTAAAGGAAATACATATGTATATAGGGAGAGATAGAGAGAAAGAGGTAGAGAGAGAATTTAGAGAGACTAAATGACTCTCCACATTTGGAGAGCCATTTGGGTGAAATGGAAAATAGAGAAGTGGGTTGAAGAATGTTTTTTGTGTTTGACTAGCTAAAATAGCTAAAAGAGAGGAAATGCAGAGTGGGATGGAGTGGCCTAGTCCCACACTAATTTGTAAAAAATTGTGAAGTGCTTTATAAGTGTGTATTTTTGTGGACCGTTATTATATAAAATATTTTAAAACCATGTTAGTCGAACCCAAAATGGATAATACTGTACAATGCAAAACCTGGACCTTATAGGCTTGGATATGGATACCCTATGATACAATTACATTGATATATAATCCCTTATTAGTTCAAGTGAAGCCCCCTATAATAAGTAAATTCGCATCAAAAGATAGATGATCTACCATCTATTGATGCGATAATGGTAAAATGCAGACGCCATGATTCTGTTCTAGTATGTGAAATGGTAATCCATACCTCTACTGCAACAGCCAAACGCAAAACTGAAGCTTCACACCACGGACGACCTATTATTTGTAGTCCTATAGGAAGTCCTTGCTTATCATAACCAACCTAAAAATTGAAAATTTTGAGGCAAAAAGAATAAAAGACAACAAATTCAGTTAGCATAATTGTTAAAGATGAACATGGTCATAATAATATTGCGAAAAGTATGGGTTCAGTCCTACTTTTTTCTTGAAATCCGATTGTACAAAACAAAATTATTGTAACCACTGATATGCGCATGATCTTAGGCTCTTAGCAGACAGTCAAAATGTATCAAATTCAAAATTAAAGACAATATACCTATATTACTATGAGATATAGTAAGATAGGTATAACAGCTAAACAAAATAGGATTAGTATGCCTCTGTGATGTTAGATTGTAAACAGTTGAGTAAATTACACTGTAGCACTCGAAGTATTCATTCAATTTAACTTTGGTCATAGTTGGGTAAATTACAGTAGTACTCACAGTATTCATTCAGTTTAATTTTGGTCCCTCATCTTTCAATTATGTGATAAAGGCTTAGGTGAGTTGAGTTGAATTGGCCTTTAAAGTTCTCCATTGGTTTTTAAATGGTCTAATTACCAACTTCTGTCCAAATAATTTCTGGCAGTCAAAATCAAAAGACACATAACCCTAGTGCATTAATTATTAGGAGGAAAGTTTGACAATTTTACTGTATAAAAACAAAGTGGAAACTTTAAAAACCAAAAATGACAACGAAAGTGAGACTAAATGCATACTTCAAGGGAACAATTTAGTAGGAAACTAGTACAGATTTTATGTTCCCATGTAGCCAGAGCGGGCCAAATTCTTGACAAGCGTAATTAGATGGAGGTTCCCCAACAAAATTTAGATGGCATAGAAAGCATAAAATAGCCAACACTAAACTGTATGTTTGTTATGGCTGCGGATTTTGACTCAAGTGTCAGCTTGGAAACTCAACTCACTATAGCTCAGAACAAAGGTCTATCTTTTTTAACTTTCTACCAGAATATTGGTCCTAAGAAATTAATGCCAAATAGAAAATCAAGCACATTATAATCACTAGGATAAAAATTCCTTTGAAGGAAGTCAACTGGGGACTATATGATACGAAAATATGGTAGGAAAATAAAGGATTTCTTCAATCAGTAACATGTAAGTCAAAACCCCTTCAGCCCTTCGTCTCTATGTGTCTTTCGAGTAAATTATGCTCAATATGTTACACCAAAGATATAATCTTGTTGAATGCTTCGTTATCTAACATAAGGGATACAGATGCATATCACTTACAGGGACAGAAATGGCAGGGAGCCCGAGAAGATTTGCTGTTATAATAAATCGCATGAGATTGCCTGAAAGAAGAACACAAGCATAAACTGCCTAAAAGAGAGTAAAAAGCAAACAGATGAGCTGCACCAATAAAAGCAGGAGAATAAGTTCATAAATGGTACACAAGAAGTTCCACTACAAATCAAGGGGTCCCTAAACGCCTGCAGTGGTGACATTTTCTAAAATTTTCAAGTTGAGTACAATAAAGGCGGTCATACTTGTCACAGATCACAGCTGATTGACAGAATACGACAGAAAATGCAAACAGGGATTTTGGGACCATGAGTAATCTACATAATAAAACACATGGCAACTTGAATTTTTATCTCCCACATATTTTCTCCCTTAAAAACATCATATCACTCATTTCTATCACATGTTTAATCATTTATATATTTTCCCCTTAAAAACATCACATCACTCATTTCTATCATATGTTTAATCATTTAATATTTGATTAATTTATAGTTAATATAATTTTTATTTCAAACATTATTCATATATGATAGTATCACATGTTGAAAAAATTTAATATAGTGAGATTGATTTTTTGGGCGCTTGAATTTTATATTTTATCGTGCTTTTAGGCACGGGTTATAACTAGTGCATTTATATGCCGAATATGTTTTATATTGTACCCCACATCACAAAAAAAAAAAAAGACCAAAAACCTAAAACCCCAACAGGGAAACTCCCACCTCCTCCACCCCCCCCCCCCCCCAACCCCCCAAAAAAAAAAAAGAAGAAAGATCTCACACGAAGGTATCCCTATTATCATTGCTGCATGTCCAGAAACTAGGTCATGCATTGTTGACCCTCTTGTACTAAAGCCACCTGTGATACAAAGCGACAAATTGACAGGTTCTTTCTTCACAAACGCCACAGATCACATTCCTCAAACATGTCCAAAGAAATTTTGTATATGTCAAGCTCAAACTTTCCATCTAAAAGCCTTCATATGATTCATGTTCATCTACATATATAGATACAGATATACAATTGGTGGCCTCGTGCGAGCAATTCACGAAATTTGCATCTCATCCCCTTTCATTACCCCTTCCTCTTCCTTCTCTCTCCCAATCCACCACTTGAGAAGTTAGACAAAAAATATGAAAACTTAGGTGATAGAAAGTAATTTTTTAAACAATTTCAAATGAGGAGTCATTAGGTAGTGGAGGGGTGGTTATGGTGTAATGTGATTAGAGTGAACTTAGTAAAATAAATCAAAATTCTAAGAATTGATAGAAATAAAGAGGACAGACTTCTCAAGCTTTCTCCAAAAAAATAATAATATATTAATATATATGTATACACACTAACACACACATGCATATATTAATGCAAATATCACATGTTTATCACATTAATTCTCAAGCCTTCATTTATCACTTGTTTTATGCTCTGTGCAAATATATGAAATTCAGGACAAAAGTTCAATGTTTTAAATTAAAGAAAATAGCAGGTGATTCCCAATGAAAAATCCTAAAGGCCTACAAGGTTATTAATTATAGGAACTTCTGTTTGGCTAGAAAAATATTCTATATTATTTAATGACCCTGGACTACAGGTGGCAGCTTAGCTATAGCTCCTACCTGTCTACAAATGAAACAAGAGATAAATGAAGCAATGGCAAAAAAAAAAAAAAAACAGTATCTTCAGAAATCCCAAGTGAATAGTAAAAAAAATTCCACATTCGTAAGTTAGAATAACGCATGTAATCATTAAAAACAGCTACTAGTATTAGTTTTGAAGAGAAAGAACACCTTTCTCAAGCGTAAGTTAAGAACGGTAATCAACTTACCAGAAACCTGCAAATTTGACTCCCCAAGTTTAAGAGCACTAGGGGGTATTACAGGTGCTGTCATGCTGAAAAAGAAAAGGTATATTTAGAATTGGTCAAATAGAGATTTTCCTTGATTGTAAAAAACAAAATATGAAATTCCGAGACAAAAGTAATTCTTTCCTACAAATGCATATAGCAACTGCATCATCAATTAAATAGCAAAACTGACCCCCCACCCCCCCACAATCCAACAACCAACATGAAAATCCAGCATAAATACCTATTTTGTACCATTTTGCTCATAAATTAATATCTATTTCTGTAAACTAACAGTTAAGTTGATCATACCCAGTGGTCGGGGTAACTATCACATCCACCTTCTTGAAAATCTCCATGTGGTAATACATTATCCTTCGCCTGGAATAAATTAGATGAAAGTATGAAACTGAAATATGCACAATACACATATATACATGTCTAAGCAATTTTCAAGCATTCTATTAATTTTTAAAATATTGATGCATAATTTGTTCAGATTTTGAACAATACATGTTAATACACCAGTGTGTGTTCCAATCAGACCACAATTGTATAGCAAGCACAAGATAGAGTTGAATGTTAGATAACATTGAAAAAAAAAGGATTTGGGAAAACAACAAGGCACCGACAAAATATGGTGAAGACATAGACCACTTCTTGCTTTCATGCTACGCCCAGTCTGAATGAAAGACCATCTGACGTTTTAAAGACAATAAACTTTATCCTAGACAAGTAACCAATGATCCAAAAGATATAAAAGTATCACTCTATCGCAATAAGTAATCTAAAACTATTTGATTTTGATCATATTAAGGAGACAGCAACTTATTTATATTGTAGTTCAGAAAATAGCATTTACAAAGTTGAACAATTACGTAACCCATAAAATTAAAGAAAGTATGCATTTGAAAAGGATGAAAATCCAATTACTAATGGTTTTCAAACTTACAACCAAACCAAGTGACTGCAAATTCAGATTAATCTAAAGGAAATTGCATCATGTCATCATATTACAAGAATATCATTGTAATCTGAGCCTCAACCAACTATTTTGAAGTTAGGGGCATAAATGAATTATGGTACTCCTAGTTCAGATGCAACGCCCTACGAACACGCTAAAAGAGTCGCGCCCCGAGGAAAAATGTGTCCAGGAGCACAATAGACTGAATGCCATTTTCATTTGATCTAATCCACAAATCTGTATGGTCTAATCATTATTCATTTTCAAAGAATGTTTCATTGGATTCAAGAAATTTGGAAATAAAAATGAATTGCGTCAGTACTATGGCAGCAACAGGTGAAATGTTTTTTCCTCACCTGAGGCGTTGGGCAGCAACGTAGTCTGAAGCTGCGAATGACCGAAAAAGAGCCAGATTAGTGCGAGTATCCAATGTTAATTTCGCCCCATTCCTACACAAGAAGAAAGAAATAAGAGTGTTAAAAAAGATTCCTAAGAATAATACAAAATTCAGTGGTTGAAATTCATTAAGTAGAGCATTCTAACACCAGTAGATCAGGATACCTATATACTAATCAAATTTAAAAGGTAAAGCAGCATACCCATCCTCAACCTCAGGCGTTAATGAGCATTGTGCTTCAGAACCAATTGAAACAATATGGGCCAGGCGCATGGCATCAAGCTCAGGTATTATAATCTCTACTACCTTCAACCACAAGAAGTTAAAGAATTATATATGCATATATATATATATATATATATATATATATATTGCACTATAAGAACAATGAATCACATAATAAGGGCGATTGACTTACTTTACATCCATGTGTTTCTGATAGTTGATTAAGAACACCCTCACACTTCTCGGAGATATCAGTTGAGAATACATCATTAAACCACTGCAGGAGCAAAGTCATAAACTAGTAAAATGCCATGCAAGACTGATGACATCAATGCCATTCTCAGTTAAAGGGGAGTACGATCACCTCGGTATACTTTCCTAATCGTAGTGATCCGAGAACATTTGAATTCTCGTGTGAAGATAAATCTGGCACACAAGGGAGGGACTGCAAAAAGAGTAGATGGTGATGGATGCTATAACATATAAGATGCAGAGCAAAGTCATGTAATTCAGGCGAAAAAACTCTGCATCTAAACCCTCCAAATTGGCCTCAACTTTGATCAGTGCCAGTATAAAACAAGCACGATACTCAGTAGAAGATCTGAACAAGTAAGAGATGCTTTGAACATGAGGCTTAAATAGTTGAAGAATCTAAGACAAGTATCACAAAAACACATGGCAGGAGTACTGAGTAAACAAATTAAGGGTAACAATTCTGCAACCAGATTTTCATGCTACGAAGCACAAAATTGGACACAAATACGTTGAATGCACGACAACCAAATACACTTGCGCAGCTTGTGACATGGGCGTCAAGGGTTTGAGTCACAGAAACAACCTCTCCGCATGTGAGGGCAAGGTTGCATAGTGGTGGGGGACTCATGCACACTAGGCCACCTTCCTAATGTAATATTACATATATTGCTACAACCAAAGAATCATAATCACCTATGTTGTATAAACAAATCCAATGAAGCATACATAATTATGACGAGTCTTGTCATTTTGGGCGCCTTCCTTTGACAGAACCTTCATGTATCTTTCCACATTACAATGAAAACTTTCTAAGTAATCATATACGACCTTCGCGTTACTTACTTTTAAGAATTGCCCTTGTATTCATGCTATAAGACAGTCATTTTTCAACTCCAAACTTTTGTCAATCCCACAGTGGCAAATGTTCGAAGTGTAAGCCACACGTTTGAAATAACGATTTCAATTGTTCAATTATGGACACACGACAGGGTGTAATGCACATGTTCCAGTTTGTTAATCTCTAAATTTCCTATTTTCTTGTAGTATGTCTGGACGGATTAAGTTTCCTCTTCAGTTCTCTTTTATTGATCTCATTTTATTTTCCTAGTTGACTTGGGAGGTTTGATGTTAGAAAGTTGAAAAGCGGGTGAAAACAAAAGTTGAGAAGGAAAAAAGTGGGTTCGACAAAGAGAGCATTGGGGTCTTTCCACAAAGTTCCAATTATTACACAGATGTCAAAAATAGTCACCTGAAACTCGCCCAAATAACAATACTGCCAACAATAATAGTGACCCCAATGACTATGATGATTAAAAAGTCGGAAAATTCATGCTAAAAATAGTTTCCCTAGCTTGCTTTATATAATATGAAAAATGTGCTCAACATAGTTGTTGATTGGGAAAAATATTAATGAATGCGTTACTTCTCCTCAAAGGGCTACTCCAATATGCATGGTTCTAATCATGATGTATAGACCAAGGTCAATTTTAAAGCAGAATTAGAGTCATATATGACATAAATAGGTTCTTTATGTGCTTCTTATCCCAGTCAGTCTGGCACTGGAAAAGCGCAGCCAAATAGGGGATGGTGTATCGTTCCTAATTAAATATATGAAATCCTAGGTTTGCGCATTTTTATCAAGAACTTCAAACCAATATTTTATTAACAAACTTGAGTGTAACCAAGAATTTCACAATTTAGAGACCATATAACACTGTTAAATAATTACCGGTTTTAAACAGATTCTATCAAGAGGAGAGGAGCCCAAGATAGCGGCATACCTGAAAAGAAAAAATAAACACGAACGTGAAAACCTCAACATCATCTCAAATGGGCGATTAAGTGTGACCGACTAGTTAATCATACTCAGGGTTGTCAAAACGTGTATCAGAAAGAGTATTAGTTTTCAAAACAGTGTATTGCGTATCATAAGATACGTGCAATTTTTCAATAGATATTAAAAAATACATATGTCACAAAAACAATTTAAAGAGACTACAAGGACCAAAACAAAAAAATTAACAATCTAATATTGAAGTTTCTAACATAATTCATCAATATTAAAATTTAGAGAGTTCTAGTTTTAAAATTTAAAGTAGCCAAAGGAAGACACTTTTAACAATCAAACTATTTGCTCCGGCGATGGAATGAATAAAAAAGAAGACTTTTATTTCTTAAAAACTATAGATGGTGATCGATTTATTACCTAAAGTTCGAAAAAATTACTTTCAAGTGACAATGCGTCGTTTTCTAGTTAAAAATCAAAGGAAATTTTTTTGATCTGTTTCGTCCTGTATTTGACGACTCGTACGTATCGTCTAGTATATTAAGTGTATCATATCGTGTATCGTGATACATATAATTTTTTTCATGTATCGTAACATATGGTATGTATTGTATCGCATATCGTACGATACTAATAACTATAATCATACTGACGCTTTATATTTTGTATTACAACATCAAGGCTAGAGTTCAGGCATAACTTGAAAGAAAGAGGGTATTTCGAGCATATAAGAACATAAAGAGGGATGCATTGTGGAAGAATGCTTGATTTAAGAAAGAAATTCAGCTTTTCCACAAATCACATTGAACTGTAGAAAAGCTGAATTGTAAGCCTAATGTGTGTCCAATGCATGCTAGACATGTGGGTATCATGCATCTACCTCCTAGACAAATTAGATTATTGAAGGATAACGCCCAATCTACTGCTGAAAGCCCACCTTGACTTTGAGCCATGGCCTGTACTGCAATACCAGCCAAATAACCAGATGCCTACCACAGGCAAATGCTCTATTATGTTACATATTGTTAGTACTTGACATGTGCATAAGCTGGAAGCAAGGCCCAGGCTGCCCCATGGCCTTGGCAATTACCGGGTCGTATGTAGTCGTCTCCCTGCCGCCTTGTTGAAGGCTCTCATGTTAATCAGATGAATGGAAAGCAAGAATCTACCACTTGATCATGATAAGGCCTAAAAAGAATCTTGAAGGAAAGAGGAAGCTACATAGATATTGATTTGTTGAAACATGTATGAGGCTACTGGAGGCATATTGATGGAATATCCTTTATCATGGAGCTCAAAGCTTATTCAAACAGTAAAATAAAACTGAAAAAGTAGTTCACAGAGAGAGAAAGATTCATTGGCAGCTCTTAATAATGCTGTACTTCATCAGAATTCAAAAAAAAATTATATTGTACCGTACTGATTAGGTCTTTCACTAGAAAATTATAGTATCTCCATAAATTAAAATATATTTGAAAGTTAAAACGACTACAATAAGGCAAGGTTATCTTCAAGAGTTTTATAGTGTTTGGTTTCTTAAAGATCCTGTGAAAGAGCGACATTTCCATGCTTCTTTTTGTTTTTCAATTACATATGGTCAAATATAGACAAGGAATGCCTTCTGTTCGAGCATGAGGATGAAACCAAATTCTGTAGAAAAATAAACTTAATTTAGGTGGTTAAAATTTGATTCGGCTGAGTCAAGCGAATTTGCTCTGACTATCATTAACTCATCGCCTGATTTGCTGCCGACTGGCACAAGAGGAAAGTAAAATGGATAACTACTATGTTCTTTACTACCAACTGGCATGATCACTGGTCAAGTAACAAATAGTAGAAGATAGCATTACTTCTAATAGAGAAGAATCCTAGAATAGGGTTGTGGATCACACACTTAGTGCATGCAACCCCTGTATTAAAGCTTATTAAGCTGAATTTTGTTTTTATTTGTCCACCTTTACAGGAATGGCTAAACTGTCGATTGCACGCTCAGAAAACAGCCTGATCCATTCCATGAGAAACACAAGGAATATTTAATTCAAAGAAAACATAAATTTAGGAAACTGGATCAATCCAAAAGTTGTTCGAATTGGGACCTTACATAGTGGAATCTTAAAATAAGCAATTGTTGATTTTTTTTTTCTTTTGTTTTTGAAGTAAAGAGTATTTCTATTACTGCTGAATTTACTAGATACAGGTGTAGTAATGCACTGGGTATTAAATTGGTCAAGATAAATAAGTCCATCCTTATACAGCACACTTAGTACAATTTTATTTTTTGCTGTAAGAAATCCTTAGCAATTAGATAAGTTTTAAAATGCAAATGTCTTTTATCAAACAGGGAATCAAAAAGTCAATTTTAGACTTAGGAGGATTGCCTAAAATTTACATATGGCAGTGCAATAATCTCAATTCAATGAAGAAGTTACAAAAATTCCCGGAGCTTTTAAAAAAATTCTAGGATGTGGGATGCAATTCGGACTGGTGTATACCTATTCGATTATTGCCTAGTTATCTTATTCAACTCTATTTTTTTCCTCTATTGCTGCAATTTTATGCAAAACAACTCTTCTTAAATGTATGAATCCTAATTCAGTAAGCCCACTAATTCCCACGTTTTTAACAGAGATCCAACAACTGTCCCTCATAATCACCATTTAAACCCACTTTTTCATCCCAACACCTACTTTGGTTTCAAAACTTGTAAAAAGAGTGTCTCATGATCCTTGTCCTACATCATCATGCATTAATGCACAAATATCTCTTGACAGAACAATCATATCTCTGAAATTATTTGTATGACACTTTCGTTTCTCCTATCTCTGATGTCTTTAGTTCCCAACTTAGTTTACATGACTCTGAATGTTTTTCAATCCTTTATTTTTAACTAAAATCCAAGGAAACTCCATCTACATGTACTCTACAATACACAGAATAGCCAATTAATGATATTTGATTATCATAATGGAACTTACAATGGGATAAAGGTGAGTATACATTTAGATGGCCATATTCAACTGACATTTGGGATCTAACCATATGAAAAGGAAGGAAGATTGAAAAGAATTACTGAACAGACATTCACGTGTGCATAAAACTTACACAAGCATGACATCCTCAACTGTTGATGCAATTGGTCCGATAATCTCTACAGTCCCTGCATCACATAACGACCTGAAAGAATAGAAAGCTCAGAAGACTAGGAAAAATATGGTTTAACATTGTAAGGCTCTTTTACAATAGTTAAAAAATAACTTAATAAAGAACATGAGTGTTTTTGTTATGAATTTTGATGAAACATCCAACCTACCCAGCAACATATGGCATTCATTAGAGAGTAGGAACTTGACCTATTGATGCAGATAGAGAAAGAAAAATGCTGTAACTTAAACAGTATAAAGACAACACATAGACAACAATTTATGCAGAAGTGAAAAGGCTATACATGTTAGATGCAAGAATATCCATATGCAAACACACATGCACGTAAGTGTAAAAGTTGACAGATAGTAACATCATAAACCTACCCATAAAAAACTCAGAAGATTGAAAATGGGAGGCAAGGATGTGAGTTGGATTGTGGCTGTTCTTATTGGTCAGCACAACATCATTATTCAAAGAACAGAACACTTGGGAGAATCAGGGCATCTAAGAAAATACACCTCTCAAAGTTCAAAAGCTTACCCTTTCATGTCTGTCCGTCCATATGTTGATTTCAAGCCCACTACACCACAGAGGGAAGAAGGAATGCGAATCGAACCTGACTTTTTCCATTAAGCACAAAAAAATTAGGATGGTCCTGTGAAAATAAGGAGAACCACTATGAAGCCTGATGTGTTACATTACCTCCACCATCTGTTCCTAAAGCAGCTGAACAAAGTCCAGAAGCCACAATTGCTGCTGGGCCTGAGGAAGACCCACCTGTATACCTATCTGGAGCATGTGGATTTCTTGCCGTCCTGTCATATAATGTAAGGTTTTGGAAACTCTGTTTGCCATACCAAACAATGTACAACCAATATCACAGATAATGGAGATAGGAATGGTGAGCAGAATGCAGACAAATAGAACATGTATAGAAAAATTAATCACCAAAAAGTGCAAGATCTTCAAATCTGGACCCCTAGGGGAATCCTATCCTTTAAGGTTATACTCTTCGGCCTTAAGAATGCCGGTGCCACGTATCAACGTGTCATGATACATATCCTCAAAGAAATGTTGCACCAGCTGGTCGAGTGCTATGTTGATGATCTGGTGGTCAAACCCACGAAGTAGGCCAGACTTTAAGTGATAGGGTTCATGCCAATAATAGCTATGATATTGCCCTATTGATTTAAGACCTATGCCCGAAGCCGAATGCGGGAGGGATTCAATCGTGGTCGATAATACGGTCAATTAATAGTACTCCCTATCATTGCCTTCTGAGTTAGAACATCCTACAATCATACCGATATCTACTAAAACCCATGGGCAGGTCATCCGCAACAGCGGCAATAGTGAACATTGCTACTAAAGAAGGGAGATGGGAACCTCTACTGTGGTTAGGTTCCCTCACGACTCTAGTTTTTGGTATATGCGTTCCGAGAATGTAAAATTCTCTTGAATCGTACTAACGCTTGTCCTACCGAAGGAGAGGTTATGTATTGCCAGATGTTCAAAGCAAGGTTCCGTTGTGTTAAACTTTATATTATCCTGTAAAGACCAGCTAAAAAAGAAAAGTTAAAGCCAAAAATATATTGAATGAGTTTTGGATTGTTATTGTGTTGTGTAGCATTCAATTTATGAACTTGAAATGCATTTTATTTATAAGGCTGAATTTTAGGTAAAATTTAAAAAGATGAACACAGAAAGACTCTGGGAATTGCATGACAAATTCCAGCAAAGCAATTTTACAAGGAAACTCCTAATAGATCCAGTTTTTCCAGGTCAAATGCATCAATAACACATGCTAAAATGTGATGCACCATCCTTCATTAGATGCACCTGTGAATGCAGGCCTTACTTGTCATTCATAAGACCCTAAGGTCATGTGTGGTCCATGTTAACCATTTTTCGGTTGATGTCGCTTCTATATAGCTGTTATGCAGAACCTACCCATAATTAGGATTAATTCCAGTTGTTCCGAGGCCCAATTCATGCATATTTGCTTTTCCAACAAGAATCACACCACAGCTACGTAATCTTGATACACTGGCTGCATCCTTTTTAACAGGGCGAACCTCATGCATCCATGTTGATGCACCTGTTTTTCAAGGACTAGTCAACAATTGCTTCAGAAATCTTAAAGGGACTGAAAAGTCAACCATGTATATACCCTTTGATGGATGAGGGTAGCAATCTATATCATCCTTGATTGCCATGAAAATCCCATCCAAAATAGATAATGGATTTCCTGCACAACCCACAACCACAGGAGAATTAAGCTAAAACCAAAATCAACCACAGGAAACTTAAACATGATGTGGCTAATCAGATGTGGTGCATCCAATAGAATTACCAATATTAATAGAAACGACGAAGAAACACGTTTGAATTCGCAATACCTTCCTCAAACCTTTGTGTGGAAGCTGCAGCTTGCTTTCTTACTTCCTCAGCATCAAAAGAAATCAACAGTGGTGTCGGGGGCTTCTTGTTAACAAATTCCTCCATAGCTGAAATGAATCGCTCTGCAACCTATATAATAAAAGTGGCATTCTTCCTTCCCACTAATTAAAAACAAACAGAAAAGCGCATATATATACATGACTTACCATAGATGGGGTGGCAAGCTTCAACCTGTAAGCATATGCATAATCACGAATCTTCCAATAGCAGAACGTTGTAGGGGATTCAACACTACAGCTGCTAGCAGGATCATAGTGTGGCAGACACTTAAAGGCTAATTCAACTCTGTCTTCAGGTTTTCCACTTTCCTCCAGAAGAACAACACCAGTTTCCGGTTCTAAATTCACATCATGCTAACTGGGTCAGTTCAGGTATAAACGACTGCAATTGATTGACCACAGCTTAAAGCAACATACTTGGTCCCTACTTCCACAATATGCACTACTTTTCAGATTGTCTATTTACGGTGATACCTTGGATGGTTGGACCTCAATCACTCTGTACACCTTCACCGGCATCGTAATAGACTACTGCTTATGTTATCTAATAAAGACACTCTTAAGTTCCTTACATTACGGAAACACCAATCTTCACAACATGGCATGAAGTTCAAAACAAAGAATTACAGAGAAAAAAATAATCTACCAAAAAAGGAAAATTCTACTTGGACTTAAAATGTGGACTTGATTTGCTTTCTAATTGATCACAACCAATGAATAGGTAGGGAGTCTCGGTGGTAAATAAATACCAAGACTCACAGTTAAATCAATGACATTGATTAATCAAGTCAGTAGACTAAGTTAGCATTTTAAGTCCAAGGAACATTGCTCACCAAAAAAACAGCTTAAGTAGTGTGTCTTTTCCTTCCTTTAGTCCACGTAAAACAAGGATATTGAAGTAAAATAATGGATACTATATACAATGTAAATACATAAGAATGAATTAAAAAGTTTGAACGTTAGACAATCAAGCACAATTTACACCAAATTAGCGAATTAAAACAAACACACTGGTTCTAACTTCCTAATTCAACATAGGAAGGGGTAAAAATAAAATGCTAGCATAACTATCAAATTAAAAAAAAAAGGTGTAAGAATAAACCTTGAGGAGGGAACTCGGGCTTAAACATGGGTGCCTCTGGTATCACACTATTCTGCAACATCTGTCAAATATAAACAGTTTTCCACACTTAGTCTCTTTAAATAAAGACAAGAAAAGATATACAAAATTGGAAATGGAAATTGAAGAACGATCGGACCTCAACCATTTTATTTTGCTTTTTCAATTGAGATATGATCAAAGAACCAATCAATGGCGCTTCAATTAACTTAACAAATAACTTCAGCTTAAACCCAGACAAACGAGGCGCTGCAAAACCACAACCACCACCAATCCGTGACTTGAACATTCATTCATCCAAATATCGAATTTCAACAAAAACATAACTCCAATTTCACAAAATAGAAAAAAGAAAAAGAGAAGAACACAGACCTTGGATTAGTTCCTGCTCGTATTTCACCTCCGCCAAGTCAACTTCACTCGCCGGCAACATCACCCGTTTCTTCCCCATCTTCCGCTAGCTACTATGTGTGTGTGAGAGAGAGAGAGAGAGAGAGAGAGTGTGTGTGTGTGTTTTTCTCTCTCTCGATTTATCACCGGTGAAATAAACGAGGTCAGTGACAGCGAGTTCTTCTTTGTTCATGTAGTTTTGTTCAATGGGTATAGGTGTGAGTGAGACGCTTAAACTTAAAATGCGCAGTGGTCCGCAATTCGCATTCACTGCAATTTAAATGGTTAGATGGGCTGTGGGCCCAGAGGAGGTTGAGGTTGGTGAGAGAAAATGGTGTGTGGTGAGTGGATCACGCAAATTGCGTCTTTTAGCAAGCTCTGCGGCTTACGTGCGGAGCTTTCAATGTTTTTTTTAGGGTGTTCGCCCAGATAAAAAATTTAATCTTTCTTATTTCTATTCGATATTTTGTAAAAGAATTTTTTTTTACCATCGATCAGGTGTAATATTTCTATCCGACTTCTTATCCGATTAATCGGGTAAGAAAACAGATAAACACTTTTGTAACTATTAATTTTTGAATCATTTTAACAATTTAATTAAATAACATGTACTATTTTAACAACACAATAAATCAATAATACTAAAATCTAAAACAATTACAACAACAATTATAATTATTTTAGCCATCAATCTACCATAATTGTTACAAATACAATCCACCATAATTATTACACAAACACAAATACATTAAAATTATAACTACTTCGCCTATGGCAGTTCACCACAAATCATGTAACCTACACAAAAAATAAATTAATATTTTAGCAACTCAAACATCCACAACAATAACAAATACTCTTATAATTACTAAAAAAAATCTAAAAAAGTTAAATAACACTTTTTTTGCTAGTGTCATTCACCTCTCTTCATTTAAGGGAAATTGAAATTGTCTCTACAGTTATTTTTGAGATAAAAAAGAGTATGAAAAAAAATTAGATACGAAGAATGCATCAACAAATAATAAAAAAATAACAATAAAAGTATATAAACCTGAATCTAGTTTATAGCTTTTTGAATCATCCAAAACATCTTCAAAGTCATAAGTAATTGATAACGATTGAAGCCAATTTTGTGCACATATGAGACCCTCAACTGTTTTGGGTGCCAAACAACTCCAAAAAGGATCTAAAATATGACCTCTAGTGCTAAAAGTTGATTCTGATGCCACCGTAAAAATGAGAATAGCTAACACATCACGAGCTATTTTGGCAAGGATTGAGAATTTAGAAGAATTAACCTTCCACCAATTCAAAATATCAAAATTGGCGCTAACAAATTCAACATCCTCCATCAAATATTGATCCAACTCTGATTTGTTGTCCACATTACCTTTCTCAGCCCTATACTTGCAGTACCTATTAATGAAATTTGTAGGTATTTGATCTTGAACAGATATCTCAGCCGAAAACATATTTTTCTCATAGTCAACACTTGACCTCACTCCACACCCCACACTAAATCTAGTGTACTGTTGGCATAATTGGTCAATGACCCTTTTGATCTTTTCAACTAATTGAACCATAACTACTTCATCCTCAGTCTTCTAATTGTCATTGAGCCAAAATTCTAAAGCATCCAATTTATAACGTGGGTCAAGAACAATAACAACAGACAACATGAAATTAATATTATCTAAATAACCTCAATACTTATCATATTTGATTTTCATTCTCATAGCCATGGTACTCAAAAGATAGTCATCATCTTCACAATAACCTTGCAAATAATCATACACAATAGAAAGTTCTTGAAAAAATAAGTTAGATGTGATATACAATGATCCAGAAATGCGTAAAATGACTTCATAGAAAAATTTCAAAGACTTCATAAACACACGAACAATGTCTCAATCATCAAATGTAGGTGGCCCAAAACTACCCCCTCACTCAATTGACTTACAAATTGCCCATCATCTTTTTACAACAAATCAAATGCCCTTTGGTACTGTTCAACAATTTTGAGTATCAAATATGTAGAGTTCCATCTTGTTGGAACATCAAGACAAAGAAGACATTTTTCACAAATTTTTTGTCTCTCAACACATGATTTAAACTTGTAAAGCCTTGAATGAGAAGACTTCACATATTTAACAGCATTTCGTACCTTCAAAATTGATGTGTTCACTTCCTTTAAATCCTTTATGACAATTAGATTCAAAATGTGTGCATAACACCTAACATGCATAAATTCATTTTCTAAGATAGTGCACTTTCCATCCTTAGTTCCTCTCTTTAAATAATCAAGAGCACCATCATTAGAAGTTGCATTATCCACTGTAACAGTAAATACGCTATTTATCCCCCACCCAAGCATGCATGCTTCAATTTCCCTTCCAATTGTCACACCCTTATGATTAGGAACTTTCAGAAAATTGATTATTCGTTTGTGTAACTTTCAATCTTTATCAATGAAATGTGCAGTTAAGAACACATAAGTTAGATTTTGAATAGACGTCCATGTATCAGTAGTAAGACAAACCCTTTGACTAGATGAGACAAACATATGTTTCAATTTTTCTCTCTCCATCATATATAATTGCAAACAATCCCTTATCACAGTGGTACGGGAAGGTATACGAAATCTAGGTTCAACAGTTCTCATCAAGTCTCTAAATCTTTGTCTTTCAACAAATCGGAATGACAATTCAATCACTATAATCATTTTAGCAATTGCCTCCCTATTTTTTTTTCATTGAATTTAGCAACATTAATGTCACTACCAACACCATCTCCATCTTTTTTGAATGCGCCAATTAACTTTAATTGAGATATGTCATTTTTATTCACACTCGCCAAATAAGATTTACAACGATCTAAATGATAAAGCAAGGATGAAGTATCTGTTTTTCTTGCATGATAATTATAAATCTTACTACAATCCTGACATTTAGCTTCATCTGCAGCTTCAATCTTTTTAAAATGCTCCCAAACTCTAGATCTTTTTTTTGTATCTTGTCCCTCAGTCTGAATGTCATCAGTAACTTTGGATGTTACTGTTAGAATCAGCTTAAGTAGATGATTGTGAAATAATTTCATCAATAAGGAAAGGATCAGTTAACAAAACAAATTAACGAACTACATAAGCAAATTTATCTTCTACACAAGCAAACAAGCAAATAAAAAAAATTAACCATAAAAATAAGCTATCAAGTTTTGTTAAACTGTAACGAGACATAGAACAAACACAAACCCAAAACTATCAAACATCATGAGTAGGTTTCCTCTTCTATATATTCTTTTCAATCATGTGCATATAAAAGTAAAAAAACAAAGAGCACTTAAAATGCTTTCACTTAAACCAAAAAAAAACATATATAAATGAAAGGAAAGATAAAAAGGCAGAAAGGTAATGATATAATGGAACTCAGTGGCAGCCTATACGAGCAATCAACTACACAATGTACTGTAACAACATCATAATTCAACACCAATTCTTAACAGTCACAAAGGGATTCAATTATTCAAGCAACTAGTGAACATTTCAATTTTCATCTATCTAATACTTTGGGGTCAAAAAGTTATAGCTGAACTAAACACATGAAATGAACATAAATATCATGATACGTAAAAATTTTTATACTCAACAAGTATAACATTTGAATTCAATACCACAAGCTTACAAATGAGAGATAAAACAAAAATTAACCATACATTTTATGTGGTAGTTAGGTGTCGAAAAAAGCTTTAGCTTTTGTGGGGATCAAGGTAGAATTTATGGGGATTTTATTTGTGGACTCTTTCAAAGGTTTTGGAAAGGATGAAAATATTTATGCGTGATTCAAGTGACAGTTTTTGAAAATTTTGTGGGAATTTATGGGGATTTCATCGCATTGAATCTCCAAATCACATATAAATGAAAAATTTCTAAATAGAAATAGCCTCTAGGACAATATATTATAAAACTAATACATAAAGCTATCTATATGACAGAACACATAGCAACAGTGAGTTCCTACTTTGACTAAAAAATCTGAATAATATTAACGAAGCTCATATACTGAAACTATGTTGCTTAGAGTTTGATTCCTGCAGATAATAATGACTCTATGGAGTCAAAGACTCAATGTGCTGAGAAGAGATCTGAGATTGCATCATCATACGGTCTAGACCAGATCTGAGATTGCGATGCAATCAGACCAGACGGTCCAGATCGTGGAGAGAGAGAAAGAGAAAGTACCTGAAGCCTGAAGGTCCTTAATAATAGAGGAGCCGAGGAGGAGCAGTGGTCAGTGGACTGGAGTGACTGGGAGGTGCCTCTCGAAGGAAGTTGGAACTTGGAACAGATTGAGTAGATGGTTAGCAATTAGGGTTTTTTTTTATTATATATATATATATATATATATATATTAAAAAAATTAATTAAATTAATTAATGTGGGTAAGGTAGGGTAGGAATGCGAAAATGGATAACTATTCCGCATTCCTACCCGATTTTTGCGATTAGCCGATTTTTAGGGTAGGGTAGGGTCGAGTAGGGTAGGAAATTGCGGTCGATTGAAAATTTGAACACCTCTACTTTTTGGTTGCTTTCTGGTTGGGGGGTGCCGGAGTTTTCACTTAGGGAGAATTACACTTACACCCCCGAAATTGTCATTTAATTATTTAAATCCCTGATATTTGAATTATTACACATAAACTCATTAAAGTTTGTATGTACGTAACACTTAGATTTCTTAAGTTTAAAATGTTATACTTAGATTACAAATATTCTAATTAAAGATAAAATATCAAATATTTTAAATTTTACAACCAAAATTCAAATTTTTTTTTGAAATTTTTTTTAACTTTTCGACTCCCGGGAAAGCTCCTCACAGAGCCATTCTCAGTCCATCCCCCGCCCAACACACGACAACCCGCTCTCGCTACTGAAGTAGCTCGAGCAGTCCACTGACAAAATTAAAAATAAAAATTTAATTTTTATTTAAAAAATTATAATTAGTATTATACTATCTATTAAACGATAAAATTACTCCAATTAACGATAAAAGATATTATGTCAATT